AATATAATTTTACCCAACAACTAATTACTGTAAAAAGCAAATACCTCCACCAAGCTAAGGAAAGCAGTCGAACTTCGAACTGCCACAAATTCTTGTAGTTCTGTTGTCTGAAATTCGGCAAATATTAGTAATTTTTTGTTATTTTGAAACAAAGCAGTGAAACTTACGAGGAAAATAATAAGGAACACAACCACATAACTTTAACGTGTAGTTGGTAAGACACTCCAGTTTACAAAACTCCAACGTATAAAATTTAAAAAACCGTAAACGACGCTCATTTGAATAGTAGCATTTCCTTCTACGAAAAGAATGTGGTTTCAAATCCTTAGAAGTTACCGTAATTTCGGGTTTAATAAAAATAAAGTACGACTCAATACTCCCAATATAAACCGAACTTGTTGATGATGTAGGAAATTCTGCAGGATGATGTAAAAAAATCTTAAAGCCATCGTAACCTCTACAACCTACTTCATTAATTTTTTTTAGTGTAAATATTAGATCACTAAGAATATTCTTTGATCGAAAAGGATAAACATCTTCGGCGGTTGTATTAAAATAATTTTCGTCCAGAGTCCAGTTTGAAATATTTCTGTTGTTTAAATGAGTAGGTACCAGGTAAATATCTGAAAAAGTCTTTTAGTGTAGATTATTGAAAAAAGTGGAGTCGTACATATCATCGTTAAATATGTAGTATTTATTCAACATATTGAATGAAAAACAAACACCCATATCTGTAAATATGGGTGAAAGTAATGCATTACAAAGAGGAAGTACTTCCAACCCGGACAAGCACAATACAAAAACGTCTTTCACTGAAAAACCAGTCTAAAAAAGGCCAAAAGTAAATTGATAAAAACTGAATAAAAAATTATACTTCTACAAAAAAAGTACTGATGTTAGGTTCTGTTAAGAAATCTTCACGTTCATAGTCCGTCACTCCAACTGTATCCTCATCACATAAAATGGAAACGTTTGCTGATTCAAGTGAAATATTTCCAGCAGATTGTTTTGCAGGATGTAATGGAAAAACGAAGTCAGAATTTTTGTTAAACTGATATCCAGGACAAATTGTAACTGCTGGAAAAGGTATATTCTGTAAAGGTACTGATTTTTGACTCATGCTTACGAAAACGGGTGTGTCTTCCCACTTTTGCCACGTTGATTTTATTAAAAGTCCACAGATGTAGACGGAAATCGAAATAATACAAATCCACCAAAACCTACAAAGAAATGATTGCGTTATCACAATGAAACAATTATTGTGGACATACCTACTTTTCGACAATGGATCGTTCAGTACCAGTAAGATACCTAAAACCATGTATGGTACTATTACTCAGAAATTCAGAGCAATGTGTTGAAACGGTTTCCAGAAATTTTCTTTTTTGTTTTTTAGGTTGTTCTCTGGGGTTTTTTGTTTCACTTGTTTCTTCATCTTCGGGTATAGTTATTTTAACATCCGACATTCTAAAGTGTTATGTTTTCTTTTCAGCATCTAACTTAAAACTAAATATGTATCAAATTAATTTGTACTGAGGCATGCTTTTACGTGGCAAATATCCAGGGAAAAGTTATATTCAATTAACTTGATATTTGTTAATCATTCGCCCATGGCGTGTGTAACTGCCAAACCATTTTACCAAAATGAAAAAATTTAATAGAGTATTTAAAATTATTTCTCCAATGGTTCACAATTTTATAATCAATTAAAAACCTCTAATTTTATTATATTTATAATTTTTTGTAGGCTTCTGGAAGACTGCACTATTGTATGTTATTGAACTCCGCAAAGGCAAGCACCCACGACGTTCTGAATCAAAGTATTAAACACATATAACTAAAGCTCGGAATTATATGCAAAAAAAAAATTATTCTGCTTGAGAAAATGTTGAATTTTTACTACATTTTGGATTGAGTAAATTGACCATTTTTCAGTCTATTGAAGAATGAGCACTTTTCTCCACAGCTTTTGTCCAATCAGAACGCGACATTTCCTTTTCTCCACAATTCCCCACTATCACCCCTAATAAAAATTGTACTCGTTTATGCATTACCCTGGTTATGTTTTGTTTACACATCATCATTTTTTCGAAAATTAATAATTCTTGATTTTTTTGTCTTTATTTTCTTGATTATATGAGCAGAAGAAGTATAGTGTTAAACTCGTGAGAAGTTGGTCATTCCACTCTCATCCTCGTGCAGTGACCAATTTTCTTACTCGTTGAACGATATACTAACTATTTTTACACATTAATATTTTATTTATATCATTTCTTACGACACTTATAACTTAAATAATACATATTTGGACTTAAATTTCACATTTACAAGTTAAAACTAACTACATATGTGGGTGTATTCTATTACTTTATTAACCAGCTAGTTTATCGACCAACTAGTTACTCTCTTAAAAAATATTATTATTTAGATTTATTATAAAATATTTTTCTAGATTTTCTATTTTAAATGAATGTCTTCGATCACTTAAAATATATTTATACACTGAAAAACTACGTCCTACATTGACAGATGTTATTGGTGCATATTTAAGGAACGTCTCAATTTGCGGGTCTATATTTACCCCATCTGAAAACTGTCCACATTAGTTAGTCTAGTAAAACCCCCATTTTTACTAAGGACTTCGTCTGGTTTTTTGAGACTGTTTGAGCAATAGGACCTTGACTTTATTAACATTGTTACAAAATAAACCCATTTGCCGTCCCAGTACGACGCCTATGGATTCTCCAGAATGTGCGGAGTTGATGGGTGAGTCATCATCAGTCAGGACGGCCCATAGAAATAATATTATATGGAAGTAACTTAGAGAGAGACGCGTGTTGTCAACACAGTGGGACAGAGATAGGGCTCTCTGGGTGGCAAAACATTGACGCGAAACTGCAGAGCACTGTGTTTCTGGAGGTTTCTATCGTGCTGTCGCATGGTGTTTGAAGGTCTATTTTTGCAAATTTACGTTTTTTAGGCTCAAGTTACCTTATTTAAATGTCTACAGTCTTCTTAAGTTGTATTTTATTGGACTGTTTGTTAAACATCGTGAAATCGTGTTGTACGTATAATTGAATAGAACGTGCAAAGAAAGCAATCCTGTTTCATTTCATAGGTAATAATGGCATACACAGACGAAGGATTTCGTAAATAATTTAAAAAATTTGTTAGCTTCCCTAAACATTCCGAGTTACGAAATAAACAGATTATTGCAACAAAAAGAGGGAATTTTATATCTATTGATTATTGTTTTAGTTATTTGTCCGTGGATTTAAAAAATAGAATTTAGTAGAAAATTCCACACAATTGAATATGTTTAATTTAATTAGGCACCCTGTAACTTTTATGGAATGTTTAATTACTTTTATCCTAAAAATTTCAGAATTACCAATGAACATACACTACAAGATTAGTTAACTTGTGGAAGATTATTGTACTAACTGAATTCGTAATATATTGTAGATTCTCTATACATTTCATTTTATTTAAAGACTATTTCCACCACTTAACATGATTTTTGTTGTTTCACATTACACATAATTTTAATGTAAACTGTAAAAATATAGTTTTCATTAACAGACGTTTGTTATAATTGATTGTTTGAACAAATTCGTAAGAGAACGTATTAATTCCCGTTCAAATGAAGCGTTTCTTGCCACCCAGCACGTGATACGTGGTCAGCCGTCCTTTCCCCACTGATGCATAACCGCTTTAGCTATTTCTTTCTTATGTTGATTACACTCGCTCTCGTATGGAAACGTATACAAGGCTCCATCCACTCTTTTATTAGATCAATGGGACGGCCGAGCTTCGGTCGCATAAAGACAAGTATGAAATCGGTTACCGGAAGTCTCGATTGCGATATCCTGGAAAGTCTCAAAGCGGTGTTCGAAAAGCCTGGAAGCGGAAGTCGCGATGGGTATTCGAGAAAGACCTCGACCGCAGAAGTATGGTCTTAAATAGAGTTCACCTCGGGAATGATTATTATTATTCAGCCAGTTGAGTCGAGAGAGCCCAGTCAAGTTGTGCCGGAATTATTTTGTACATAATCGCTGCAACAGTTCGTCGTCTAAATTTTATTTTTTACCGCTTTTAATCACCCGTGCAACGTAACAATATTTTGCTCACTTTTGTTTAGTTTATTCCTTCAAATTTTTTAAGCTTATGGATCCAGACAATTTTTTCTAATTTATAACCAGACAACTTTTATAAGACCTTTACCAGTAAGATATTTAAAACCACATACGGTACTATTACCAAGAAACTCAGAAAAATAGGTTGAACATGTTTTAGAAATTTTCTTTTTTTGTTTCGGAGTTTGTTTATCGGTTTTCTTTGTATTACTTGTATCTTCATCTTCTGGTATGGTTACTAGAACATCCGACATTCTCAAGAGGATTATAAATATGTTTTCGTTTGAACATCTAATTTCAAACTAAATATCCATTTAATTTGTATTGACGCACATCTTTACGTTTCGAATATCCAGGGAAACGTTACATTTAGTTAATTGCATGTGGTGTATGAAAACGGAAAATAATAAAATGAAAAATATTAACAACATAATTAAAATTACATTTTCTTGGGTAAAGATCATCTGCCTGATGATTTGAGTCAAAATATACTAAAAATATAAACGGTGTTCTCATGTGGTAATAGAGCTTTATTAAGGACTACTTTAGTCCTATTAAAAATATACATCTACACATAATTCTTGCAAAATCTTGAAGTTGTTCACAAAAGCGGTGAAATTGAAAACACTGATACCAATTTCTCGATATTTGGTGCTATAATCTTCTTCCCATATCAAATATGAACCGAAGAGAAATAATAGAAAATAGAAAGTTTTATTAGTTAAAATTTATAGGAAATTAGTAGGTAATTAGTGTTAACAAATAAGCAAAAAAAAAGGAATGTGATTTATATTAAACATAAAAAAGCAGTAACACGTGTACATTAAATGCACAAAATTTTAATCTTTAAAAACATGTTTTTCCTTAATTCCTCGGAATACGGTGCCACAGTCTTCGCCCCAAAATAAATATCCACCGAAAAACTAAATAATAAATAATTTCAGCCAGAGATATGAAAGAAAAACCAGTAAATAACCCTAAAAGTCCGCCACAGTTTGCCCAAAAATTAACAACGCCAAACAATTCTTGTCTTTCCATGGCCATAAACTCCTCATTTCTAAATTTTATCACGACTTCAGAACCCGGATGAAGCAACAATGGTTTTGTAGGTTTTTTTACCAGTTCACTAGTGTACTTTATTGCAGTGCAGGAAGGCAAACAGTCACAGGATTCTGAACTAAAACCCTCTATTGTGAATTTCACCTGACTTAGCGACCAATCATCTGAAAGGAATATAATTTTACACAACAACGAATTACTTATGTAAAGCAAATACCACCACTAAGCGAAGGAAAGCAGAGGAACTGTGAACGTCCACAAATTTTTGTAGTTCTGTTGTCTGAAATTCAGCAAATATTAGTAATTTATTTGTTAAACAAAGCAGTGAAACTTACGAGGAAAATAATAAGGAACACAACCACATAATTTTAATGTATAGTTGGTAAGGCATTCCAGCTTACAATATTCCATTGTATAAAATTTAAAGAATCGTAAACGACGCTCATTTGAATAGTAACATTTTCTTCTGCGAAAAGAAAGTGATTTCAAATCCTTAGAAGTTAACGTAATTTCGGGTTTAATCCAAACAAAGTAGGAATCAATACTTCCAATATAAATGGAACTTGTTGATGAAGTAGGAAATTCTGCAGGATGATGTATAATAATCTTAAAGCCATCGTAACCTTGACAACCAACTTCATTAAGTATGTTTAATGTAAATAGTAGATCACTAAGAATATTCTTTGATCGAAAAGGGTAAATATCGTGGGCGGTCATATTCACATAATTTTCGTCCGGAGTCCAATTTGAAATATTTCTGTTGTCAAAATGGGTACTAGGCAAATATCTGAAAATGTCTTTGTAGTGTAAAATAGCAAAAACGTGGAGTCGTACATATCGTCATGAAATATATCGTATTTACTCAACATATTGAATGAAAAACAAACACCCATGTCTGTAAATATGGGTGAAATAAATGCTTTACAATAAGGATGTATTCCAAGCAGCCCGGACAAGCACGAATCAAAAACGTCTTTCATTGAAAAACCAGTCTAAAAAAGGCCAAAAGTAAATCGATAAAAGCTGCATAAAAAATTATACTTCTACAAAAAAAGTACTGATGTTAGGTTCTGTTAAGAAATCTTCACGTGCATAGTCGGTCACTCCACTTGTATTCTTATTACATAAAACAGAAACGTTGCCTGATCTAATTGAAACATTTGCAGCAGATTTTCTTAAAGAATGTAATGGAAACACGAAGTCAGAATTTTTGTTAAACCGATATCCAGGACAAATTGTAACTGCTGGAAAAGGTATATTCTGTAAAGGTACCGGTTTTTGACTCATGGTCATAAAAACGGGTGTGTCTTCCCACTTTTGCCACGTAGAGTTTATTAAAAGTCCACAGATGTAGACCGAAATCGAGATAATACAAATCCACCAAAACCTACAAAGAAATGATTGCATTATTACAATGAAATAATTATTGCGGACAAACCTACTTTTCAAAAATGGATCGTTCAGTACCAGTAAGGTATCTAAAACCATGTATGGTACTATTACCCAGAAACTCGGACCAATGTGTTGAAACTGTTTCGAGAAATTTTCTTTTTTGTTTGTTAGGTTGTTTCTCGATGTTCTTTGTTTTACTTGTTTCTTCATCTCCTGGTATGGTTATTTTGACATCCGACATTGTATAGTGGGTTACAAATATGTTTCCCTTTGAACATCTAACTTAAAACTAAATATCCATTTCATTTGTATTGATGCATGCGTTTACGTTTCAACTATCCAGGGAATCGTTGCATTTAATTAATTTCATGTTTGTTAAACTTTCGCATGGTATGTGAAATCGCTGTTTCATTTTAACAAAATGGAAACTATTTAATAACATGATTAAAATTACTTTTCCGATGGTTAAATTCATCTGTCTGATGAAGGTACGGCTTCCGAAACACGTTCTACAAATAAATTATTGTATTTTGGACACAAATATAGACGGCAAATGCGTATTTTTATAAATAGCTTTATTAACGACTATTCTAACCCTACATAAATACACGTACAATTTACTTCTCATTTAGTTCCTAATTTTAGGTGAATGGCTGCAAGTTTGGTACAAATTTGACTGATTTGTATTTTAAGAGACAATTATTGTGCTTAATGAATGTCTAATTTTCGACAGAATTTGTAACAAAGCGTTTACTAAGTCTTTAGAAGAATTATTGATCTTATAATAAGCTTCATATATGTTTTCCTTTTGGCATCTAACTAAAAACTAAATATATATCAATTTCATTTGTATTGATGCATGTTTTTACGTGTCAGATATCCAAGGACATGTTATATTCAATTAACTTGATGTTTGTTGAGCATTCGCACGTGGCGTGTGAAATTGCTAATCCATTTTACCAAAGTAAAAAATTCTAATACCGTAATTAAAATTATTTCTCCAAAGCATCAATATTTATTATCACTACTTTTGAGGTGGTCATAATTGTTTGTAGGCTTCCTGAAAACTGCACTCCTGTATTTTACTAAATTGCACGAACACAAGCACTCAAAAGGTTCTAAAAGAAAAGTGTAAGAACTGAAGACATCAAGCGAATAACAAACTCCCATTACTGTAACTGTTAGTGAATATAAATATTGGTCTAAGAAATAATTGCTACAGTAATTTTGAAACTAACTAATGAAAAACTTATGCTCCACTAAAAATTTTGTTAACAAAGATTAACGATAAATTGGTGAGTGAAGTAAGATATTGTTACGTCGATCGGTGATTAAAATCGGCGTGGGTTAAACTCAACAATTCCACGTTTTAATAACTCGAATTTACACGATTAATTACAGAGCGATTAAGTTCATCTGCCTAATGAAAGCTGTGCGTTCCAAACGCGTTCCATAAATAAATTATTTGGAAGCAAATACACTAAAAACATAACATATATTATCAGGTAATTAACGACTCCGCTATTTTAACCCTAAATAAATAGTAGAAATAAGTCTATTCATTCCAGGATTTTTGGACAACTGTTTCAGAAGCTCAATTTTTCGACACATTAGATTTCAGCATCCAGAAATTATTTCGGTCTCATTTCTTCGAATACTCCTAACATTTTTCCACAATCGACCTACGAATTATCGTCATTTTTAAAATAAAAAAAAATTCATAGCGAATTTTAAAAAATCCCGTTCCGGAACCATGAACACACAATATTTTTATACATTTAAGCAACTTTTTCAATTTTTCAATACACCCGCCTCTCCATAAAAAATTTCAACCTTATTTCGACAGCCTGCAAACACTATCCAAAGGGATGTTTTTTGTAAGTAAATAGATTTCAACCTCTAGAAATTACTTTCGGCCTCATTTTGTGGATTTTTAGACAACTTGTTCAAAAGCTCAATTTTTTAATACTTTTCCCGATGATGAAAATTTCAAGCCCCTTTCGACTACCATCGAAAATTATCGAAATACTTTTTCCAGATATTCCGAACGAATTATAGCAATTTTGGGAAAAAAAATTGAAATTCAAATCCAACAATTCTAAATCTTGTTCCGAGACTATAAACACTATATTTTTCGAATACGTTGAGAATTATACCTATTTCAGAATTATTTGTGGATTTTTTAAGAACTTTAAAAGCCGAATTTTTCGATTTTTAAAATTTCTACCTCTCTTCGATTACATTCGAAAAATACCTAAAGGGATTTTTTCTAGATTTGAACCTCTAGAAATTATTTCCGTCTCATTTCTGCGAAAAGTCCTAAAATTTTTCCACAATCGCCCATCGAATATTGGCGATTTTTAGAATTAAAAAAAAAGAGTTTCGAAGCGAATATTTCAAAAATCGCCTCCCAGGGCCATAAATACACTATATTTTTATACTTTTAAACAAGATTTTTAATTGTTTGATACTTTTCTTCCTTATTAAAAATATCAACGAATTTTCGCAATTTTTAGAATGTTTTGAAAAATTTAATTTCTAAGTGAACATTTCCAAAATTATGCTCCGGCACTACAAACGAGCCTCTTTTCCAAACAGTATGTCAAAATCTATAGGGCCGAATTTTTTGTGGATTTTTAGGCAACATTTTCAAAAGCTCCATTTTTGAGTATGAAAATTTCGATCTTTTTCGACTTTGAAAATTACCTGCAGGCTCTTTTTTACATTTCAACCTCTAGAAATTACTTTCGGGATCATTTCTTGGTAAGCTTCTACCTTTTTTCCAGAACCGTCCAATGAATTGTGCCAATTTTTAGGATTTTTTTTTAATCCAATTTCAGACCAATTTTTTTCGAATCTTCTCCGAGACCATAAACACGCTATATTTTTCTGATCTGCACGTCGAGATATAAATCCCAGAATTTTTTGTCTAGTAATTTTAGACAACTTTCTCAAAAATTCAATTTTTCAGTGTGAAAATTTCGGCCGTTTCCAACCACTTTCGAAAATTACCTACAAGGATTCTTTTGTAGAATTTAACCTACCGAAGTTATTTTCGGTCCCATTTCTTGAAAGACTCCTACTATTTTTTCAGTATATAGCAATGAATTATAGCAATATTGTGATTTTTTAAACAGTAATTCTAAAATCTTATCCCAGGACAATAAACCCGCTATATTTTTCAATTTAACACGTCGATATCGATAACCCCAGAATATGTGTTTAATTTTTAGATAACTTTCTCCAAAGTTCAATTTTCCAATCGATTTCCTCTCTTACAAAAATGTTTACTTTTTTGATGAAAAATTCCCAAAAAAGATTTTCTTAAGATTTTGATCTCCAGAAGTTAGTTTCGCTCTCATTTTGTGGATTTTTAGACAATTTTTCCAAAACCTCAATTTTTCAATACCTTTTCCATCATGAAAATTTCGAGCTTTTTTCGATCACCATTTCCAAAATGCTTTTTTCCAGAGTTTCAATTTTTTAATATCTACTGAAAATTTCTACCTTTCTTTAATTACATTCGAAAACTACCTAAAAGGATTTTTTTGTAGATTTCAAGCTCAAGAATTTACTTTCGGCCTCATTTCGTCGGAACCTCATACAACTTTTCCAGAATTGTTGAACGAATTTTAGTAATTTTTAGATTTTTTTAAAAAATTGAAGTTCCAAATGAATATTTCGAACCCGTATGTCAAAATATACCTATAGTGCGGAATTTTTGTGGATTTTTCGGAAACTTTTTTTAAAAATTTAATTTTTCAATATGAAAATTTTCTAGGAATTTCGAGCATCTTCAGAAATTTTTCGAAGAGAGATTCGTGCAGATTTAGGTAGGTATATCCCAGAATGTTTTGTGTAATTTTAGGCAACGTTTCCAAAATCTCAATTTTCAATACTCTTCCCATCATGACAATTTCGAGATATTTTGGACCATGTAAGCAACTTTTTCAATTTTTCAAATATCAAGCTAATTTTCGAACGGTTGTCAAAATCTATAGTGCGGAATTTTTTGTGAATTTTTAGGCAAATTTTTCAAAAGCTCAATTTTTCACCTTTTTCGACCACCTTTGAAAATTACCTCAAGAATTTTTGTCTACATTTCAACCCCCAGAAGATATTTTCGCGCTCATTTCTTGGAAAACCTCTACCCTTTTTCTAAAAACTTCCAACGAATTGCGCCAATTTTTAGGAATTTTTTTAAATCGAATTTGAAAGCAATTATTCCTCGCGGCCATAAACACGCTATATTTTTCGAATCAGTACGTCGGGATTTATATCCCAGAAATTTTTAAGTAATTTCAGCTAACTTTTTCAAAAGCTCAATTTTTCAATGGGTATGAAAAGTTGGGCCTTTTCCAACCATATGAGAAAATTATCTAAAAGAATTTTTTTTATAGAACTCAACCTCCAGAAGATATTTTCGGTCTCATTTTTTCGAATACACCTACAATTTTTCCAGAATATCCCATTGAATTATGGATATTTTGGGATTGCAGTTTTTCCAGTCTTTACATTGAGATCTATAACTCAAAATTTTTAGAATTTTTAGCCAAAGTTTCCATAATTTCAATTTTTCAATACAAAAAGTTCGACTTTTTTTTGACTACTTGTAAAAACCTTCAAAAGGAATTTTTTTAAATTCTACGAAAACTCCTACCATTTTTTCAAAATAATCTAAAGCATTATGGTAATAAATATTTCTAAAATCATATACCCCAGGACAATACTAAATATGGTATATTTTTCAATTCAGCACGTCGACATCTAAAATCCCAGAATTTTTCTTTAATTTTTAAGCAACTTTTTCACAAGTTCAATTTTCCAATCAATAGGTACTCCTTTCTTCTGAAAATTTTTACTATTTTCAGACTTTCGGTCTCATTTCTTTGAAAACTTCTACAGTTTTTCACTGAAGAACGGCAATTTTAGAATTAAAAAAACAAATTACAAAAATTAATGATGGCTAGATAAATAACGAAATTTGCCCAAAATATTACCATCTGATGATCTAATACCCAAGTTCAGGACAAATAAATGCCCATAAGTTCTTATTTAAAAAGGTTTTATATTTTTTAAATCTGTTTAGTTTTAAATACTGTGTTTTTATTTCGCACCAAAGTTAGATATTTCTTTTCAAAATTTCCATTTATATTAATTTATGAACAACCATTCCAACATTAAAGCTCAAACGATACATTGAAAAAATAGGGGAATAAGTTGTTTTAAACAAGAATGTCATTTTACATATATCCAAAATTAACTGTGAAATTTAGGATAGTGATATAAATAAATATGAATGAATAAATATTTTTTTATTTTCTTAGAGATAAAATAATGTATGGGAATTGTCAATTTAAAAATTGCAACGTTGCAAGATTTTCTTCCCCAAAACAATTATCCATCGAAGAGTCAAATAATAAACTATTTCCACCAAAGACATGACCGAAAATCCGGTAAACAACCCTAAAAGTCCACCACAACTGGCCCAAAAATTAACATCACCAAATAATTCTTGTCGTTCCATAGCCATGAATTCCGACTGTCTGAATCTTATATTTACTGTGTCATCGTTAGATCCTTCCGAGTCTACAGCTTGAATTACATCTGCTCTGTAAATTATTGAAGTACACGAAGGCAAGCATTCACAGAGTTTTACACCAGGATGTTTGTTTAAAAAACCCGATTCATATTCAAGCCAGTGATCTAAAACATAAACTAACAATAATCTAAAAAGAGTCAAAAATTAACTATTTAACTTTTGGCTTTAGTTTCGCACGACGACTTATATCGCCCACAAATCCGTGTAGTCACATTATCTAGAATTTAAGCAACTTTTATTATAATTATAATATAATATTTCAAACCTACGTGGCATGTAACTGGGAACACAACCACAAAAATGTACAGTGTAATTAGCAAGACATTCAATCTTACACAACTCCTCGCTATAAATTTTGAAAAAATGCAGTTGACGTTCGTATGAATAGAAACATTTTCTTCGGCGTGGAGCATACAATTTTAAGTCATTGGAAGTAAATGTCATTTCTGGTTTGACTCCAATGTCGTAACTTCCACGCTTTTCGATGTAAATGGGACGTTTCACAAGTGTTGGAATTTCTGCAGGGTGATGTAGAATGACGGTTAATTTGGCATTCTCACAGCTTAATTTTTTAAGAGGGCGTTTGAGAGAGAAGAACATGTAAGATTCAGTTGTTACTGAGCGAACAGGGTAGACGTCTTGGACATTTTTTCGATAATTGTCATCGAATGTCCAAAATTTAATTTTTTGTTGCTGAAGATCAGTGCGTGGCAGATGGCTAAAGAGTTTCTGTCATAAGAAAAATAAAAACAAAACTGGATACAAACGTAATGTTGTTGAATATGTATTTCTTATCCAAGGTATTGTAGGAGAAACAGAGTCCCATTTCATTAATAACTGGTGAAAATTTACGAGAACATATCTCGTTATAGGTAAAACCAGACTTTACTATGGAGCATTTTGAAAAAATATCGTCTACAGAAAATGCACTCTACAATAATATTATGAAAATAAAAGTACTTTAAATTGAAATGTACCTTTTCCAAAATTTCACTACCATTTTCTTGTTCAAATTCCGATTCTAAGTTAGTGGGGAAGCAAGGCTCTGGCGGTTCTTGGAACCTGAATAAAATATCATATAATTAGAATAATGACGCCCGTATTCGTTATACCTAGGACTAAGAAATGAAAAGATTGATAATCTTTTATCTGAATTTCCGTAACATACAGTGACTGCTGGAAAAGGTATTTTCCACAAAGGTACCGACTTTTGGCTAAGTCCTATAACAACTGGATTTTCTTCCCACTTTTGCCAAGTCAGTTTAATTAGAACTGCACAAAAATAGACGGAAACTGACAAAATGCAGATCCACCAGATCCTGTAATCCAGTTAGGTATATTTTCTCAAATTAAAAGGATATAAATGACACTTACTTTTCTATGAACGATTTGTCACTACCCACCATGTATTTAAGACCATGTATGGTACTATTATTCATAAATTCAGAATAGTATCTAGATATTTGATTAAAAAAAGGTCTACCATTTTTTCTTTCGGTTTCATCTTTTACAATTTTTGTAGGCACAGTAACGTTCGACATTTTGTAGTGTACTGTAAATAAATACGTTTTACCCCACATTATCCTTAATTAAATTACAAGATTATTAAAAAGATAAAACAAGTTAATCAATATTTAACGCTGTACAAATTGAAGAGACGCATTACTTCTAATTAAAAAATTGGTCTAAAGAGTTAAGACAGTACTTCCCTCGCCGTCGGAAACGTGACGACGACTATTATGTTTTTTTTATTACATTTTTAGCGAAGCATTTTAAAAAATTTTTGCGATGACGTCATCAACATTTTTGCAAGGACACATATATCAGTTTGGATAGATGTAGTGTAATACTAAAAAAAAAATAGGGCTAGGCGGTTAAAAATTATGCGTTGCGTAATTGGCAGACCAGTGGCTCGCAATCGATGTTACGCATCGCGAAGAAACTTATAGTAGGAACGTTTCTGTTGTATACAATAAAATTTTACAATGTCATTACGAGGGGTTGGCTACGCTGTTCCTCACTGAGTGTCCCACCGCCTTGGCATGCGCCGCTATTGTACAACCACACGAAGGGTACCTAAGAACCGCTCGGGTTACTGCAATTTACAATTTATGATGGGTATGAACCGCTGTGAAGTTAACTGCCTTAAACCATCATAAAATTTTATTGTATATATTTAACAGGAATGTTGTTACTGTATGAAAAAACTAACGTTAACTGAACGTCAGTTGATGATTTTAAAATCCATATCCACAACATAATAATAATAATATTTTTAATAATTTTCAAGTGTCGGTCTCGCTGAAAATAAAACTATTTCTGTAAATTATTAAAAATGATGCACAATTGGAAAGCGAGAAGCGAGTAAGTCAAGGACGCACCGGCCGCACTTCAGACGGGTAGATAGGATGAATAAATTTCGACCGCCCAGCTTTATTTATAAACAACGACGTGATAGCAAAACGCATCTGTGCGTGATGTTCGACGTCCCGCATGCTGTTGAATGTGCCAAGGTCATCAAAAAAGGTTATGAGTGCAAAAATGTATTTACAGCACATTTTCAACGGGAGTACATTACATCGGAAGAATATTACGTAGACATTTGTTTGGTTTGAATGAATTTATCGCCTCAAAACAGATGACTAATATTATGCATAAGCGTCCATTGAACAAAATATTCCGAATGTTATTATTATAATTCTTACCTTATCATTATTTTATTGTTATAAAGACGTGCGTATTCCCACATTTTCCAGAAAATGGGGTGGCTCGTTTTTAATTTGATCAATAATAAATTGACTGATTCATTAATTTTTTTCAGTTACCTATTTAAGCAAATCGAAACAATATGAATGCAATGATGAAAAGTCTGTTCATATTTTGCACATTTTTGAAAAAATTTATTCGGTAAAATTTTGAGATACCGTAATCAATTTTCTGGGGTTGATAAACAGATACATTTTCATTAAAAAGTTACCATGCTTACAATAACTTCAAAGCGTCACGATTTCAAAGTATTCAGTTTTGCAATTCTTGATTTAATCAATAAAATAAATTGACTCAGTCATTCATTTTTTTCACACACCCCGTATAAGCAAATCTAAAAAATATTTATGGAGTGATAAATCACAATTATACACTCATCACACTTTGCACAATTCACATTTAAGACAGCATTTTTTCGGAAAAATTTTGGGGTGGCGTGATCAATTTTTAGGGGAGGATGAATAAATATATATATTTTGATCAAAAATTTACCATGCCTATGATAACCTTAAAACATTTCCAAGATTTCAAAGCATTTGGTTTTGTGGTTCGTGATTAAATTAATAAAACAAATTTACGCATTCATTAATTTTTTTGAGTCACGCTGTATATGCAAATGCAAAAAATATGAATGGAATGATAAATTACAAGTACAGACTCATCATATTTTCTACATTTTAGATAGGATTTATTCGGCAAACTTTTCAGGTGACTTATCACGTTTATCATAACTGTAAACCATCTGCAGGATTTCAAAGCATTCGGTTTTGCAGATCCAAATTAAATGTCAAAATGTTGTTTCCTAATTTTGATTTTTGGACGTTTCGGGTAAAAATATGTGTAAGACTATGTTATTTGATACAATTTAAAACCCATTTATTAAGAACAATTTTGAAGTGACGTCATCACATTGGTGGTGGGGATGATTAGACAAATTTTGGTTGGCCTTTTACCATCTACATAATATACCTAATATAAATACAAAATTTGACAACAATCGGCTCAGCACTTTCGGAGATTATCTGTGTAATAAAAATCCGGGACGGCAGACAGATGGACAGACGGATAGACGGACAGACCGACGGAAACGGGAGACCTATTTCTTCGTCCTCTAGGGGTCAAGACAGGTCGAGAAAATGAAAAGTAAAGAGTCGGCTGACGGACTCGATTAGAATACTTCCTTCGCTTACGCCCGGGAAGTAAAAATTAATAATTAGTATATCACATGACTAACTTTAAAACATTTTAAGTTTTATAAAATATCAATTATATCGTTTACTATCCTGTAAGTAATTATCAAATCATCGCTTTTAATAACATTATACGTAGTACTATATTGCAGAATTCATGGCCATTTAACTAAACAAGATGTATTTAACATAATGTCTTAGTTGCTTATGGTTTACGTGAGGAGACAACAAAACATAAACATCCCAAGATACTGCAAATCTTTCCATGTACCTCCCATAAAATAAATTTTAACCTTTAGACTGAGAAACATTATACTTTGTAAATTTTCTGAAGTACCACAATGTTTTCACTAGCCATTTATATTGTTACGGCGCGGGTAAAACTCAACAATTTATTTCTTAATAACCCACATTTACACTACTGAATATGCAGCGATTATGTACAAAATAATTCCGGCGCAACTTATCTGGATTTTCTCGACACTCGCTGGACTCGACTCGTTGACTGAATAATAATCGGCCCCGAAGGTGGCCTCTATTTAAAGCCATACTTCCCTTCTAGAAGTTCTGCAGTCGAGGTCTTTCTGGATTGCTCATCGCGACTTCCGCTTCCAGGCTTTTCTTGAGGGAATACCGCCCGGCCTTTGTCACCGACGATGAGTCATCATCGGCGTACATACTAGAACCCATAGGCGTCGTACCGTATGAATCCGCCTTCATATTTTACATACACAAGCCTGCATTTTGCAGTATTTTTGCAGTTTTAATAGAAAGTTTTCCAAAATGAGTAATAATGTTATACTGATTGGTTTCTCTGAAAGTTTTTTCATTATTATTAAGAATAATATGGAGTTTAAACACGTATCAGCCTCATCAATACCAATATTAAAATTTACGAGTGAGATCGCCTAATTGATTAGAGTTGTCATCATGTACTTCTTTAGCGATAGACATGTTATACACTGCTATATAGAGAATTAAGAAAGACGCGTTTAACAAGATGTTAAAAAGCTTTGAGTGACAGAGTTTGATATCTAGATAAAAACAAGCTTTATTTGCTCCTAATGTCGCAATACACCATGAAAAATTTTCTTTCACAAAACAATTATCCATCGAAGTGTTAAATAATACACTATTTCAGCTAAAGATATGACAGAAAATCCGGTAAATAACTCTAAAAGACCACCACAACTGGCCCAAAAATTAACATCCCCGAATAACTCTTGTCTGTCCAAAGCCATGAACTCCGATTCTCTGAATCGTATGGATACTATAATATCTCTGATCTCTTCCATGTGTAGAGTTTGAAGTAACTGCTGGAAAAGGTATGTCCCATAAAGGTACTGGCTTTTATCTAAACGCTGTAAAAACTGGATTCTCTTCCCACTTTTACCAGGTCAATTTAATTAAGTATAGCTCGAAATTAACAAAATGCAGATCCTCCAAATCCTGCAATCAAATATTATTTTCCCTTATAATTGGAAGTATAAATGACACTACGTGCTTTTCCATGACCAAGTTTTCGTTATCCACCAAGTACTTAAGACCATGTATGGTACTATTACGCATAAACTCAGAAAACCATCTAGTTATTTGTTTAAACAACGGTCTACCTTTTCTTGTCTCGGTTTCATTAACATGGTCTATTTTATTTACCCCTTTGTCTTTTTTGAAAGTCACAATATCGTTCGACATTTCATAGCTTACTAACGCCAGACACGTTTGCCAGATTTTTATTTTTTAATTTTGTTAGCTATTTTATCACCATTAAGATATGCATGCGTTTTAATTAAATTATGATGCTATTAGTAGGATTATAATTTGCGTTACCGGACAATTTACATAAAATTTATAAATAATATCATTTAATTAATCGTATAATTAAATAATTCATTACTTTGAATTAATTTAATTTTAGTAATGGTAGACGGAACAAGGTGAAATAGCAATAGTTACATGTTATTCAACATATTAATGATACTTCTATAAATGTATGCAGGTACTAGGGAAAAGTCATCAAGTTGGCGTTGCTTTTTTGACATAAGAAAATGTAGCAAAAAGTGTATGTATTTTATTATTTAGTACAATTGTGTATAATCGACATTTCCGCATTCTCAGTTGTTGTCGATAATATTTTTATTTGGCGATAGAATTTTAGGTCATCTGTATAAAGATCGATTTATAAACTTGTCGCTGACGTCGCTGTTCGCCGTTGACGTTGTAATACGCAGCGAAGGTATGCGTTGACGTTACCGCTAAAAGTTGGCATGCCGTTGGTGTGACGTTCGCGATGAGTTGGGTTTAAACCAATCAAATTGCGGTAGTGTGCACTGCTGTCAACTTCAGAGAAAATCCCCTGAAGTAGGAGGGACATTTTTCTGGTTGACAGAACTAATTTCGCGAAAATCAAATTTTGATAGAGATAATTAGTTTCACTAATATTAAGTCATTTAATCACCTGTTCACCGAAACCCTCATATTTAAATAGCTGGCATCATTTTCTACATTGTAGCTTTCTGAGAGTACTTATACATTGTTAAAGATTTTGCCTTTTTCTTAAGGAAGATACTTCGAACATGGTTAAAATAGTATATTTTTGGAAGGAAATATGGATTTTGCAATCATAGGGCAGAGCTTAATTTTCAAAATTGATATTTCCTTACACAAATTTTCCATTTTAAATATGTTTTAAGTTTCATGTTGTGAAAAGAAGCCTACACATATTAAAACAAAAACGGAAAATGTAAACCCGCCCTAGCTCTATTGTGATGATTTTTTTATTTGGCGTGAAAAAAGAGGGAGAAGCTTAACTGCAAAATACTTATTTCTTTACAAGAAATCACAAACATATTTTTGAATATCGTGTTATTCAAAGAATACTATGTATATTAAGAAAAAAGCCAAAATATAAATCCCGCCCACCCACCCCATCTCAACTGTTATGATTTTTTTATTCTTAGAAACTTAAAACAGGCTTCAAATGGTAAATTTTTGTAAGGAAATATGGATTTTGCAATTAGGCTCCGCCCCTACGTTGCCAACGAATGAAAACTTGATTACAATTTAGATCAGATCAGGTAAGGCGGGGCCTAGTCTTTGGCTTTAATGTTTTCTTAATATACCCAGTATTTTTTGAACAACACCATACTCAAAGACATGTTTTTAATTTCTCGTAGAGAAATAAGGATTTTGCAGTCAAGTTCCGCCATCTTGGCTCACGACGAATAAAAAAAATCATCACAATTGATATAGGGCGAACGGGCGGGGCTAAATTTTGCCCTTTTTTTTAATTTTGTGTAGACTTATTTCGACAACAAGAAACTTAGAACATGTCTAAAATGGAAAATTTTGTAGTAATCGACTTAAATCCTCCACTCTTCATCTACAACCTCTTTAAATACGGCAAAAGTTGAATATCAAATTTACTATCAACGGCAACTTGGCAACGTCAACGAGAACGGCAACTGCAGCGGGAACTTCAACGTGAACAGCTAGCTTATAAATCCCAGTTAAAGCAGATTATTATTATTATTACATCTGCAACGTCGTTGATAAACACTGTAAATAGTAAGAGACCTACAGTAGACCCCTGAGTTGAAAAAGACTCAGAAATGCAGTTATTGTATATTTAACAACCAATTTTCTCTCTAATATATACGATGTAATAAGAGCCAGCAAAGATTCAATAAAACCAAACCATTTGTGTTTTTGGAGGAGACTAACATCATGGATCCAGTCTAACGTTTCGGAAAAGTCCCTATAAACTAGATCTGCCCGTAAGTACGGTCTATGGCTTCAGAAATATATTTTGTAAAGGTCGTTAAGTTGATAAGGGGTTATATAAATTCTTCTGAATATTAAGCAGCCGAGAACTTTAGCAACATGAGAAAATTGGGTCTGTAGTTTTCAATTTCAGAAGGATGACCTATTTCATAAACTGGAGTACCTAACTGATGCCAGTTTCATCATTACGATATCTAATTTTTAAATCTGTTTCAACATTCAATCGTCCATTTCTTTTCTAACAGTTTGTATAATTCCAGGTGCTTTGCAGCCCTCTTAAACGATAATAATAATAAATAAAGACAATAAAATTAAAAACGTCTTGGTCACTTCTAAGCATGATTTTAACAGGTCTCGTATTTGCTTTTTTAAATTTCCCGAGTCTTCAACATTGAATATTGGAGGAGTTTGAAATTATTATCTAGAGAACTTAAAATAAGAGAGGCTTTTATAAACTTTTTTATAAATTAACACACTTCTATCCTTGTGGTTTATGAACCCACCTTAATATTTTACACAGATATAATTTTAGAATAGAAGTTTATATTCGAACGGATGTTGGAAGTACGAATATGGTCTGCATAAATAACAAGTTACAAAAATGAACATTTATTGATTACTTTTATTAAAAGAAACGCAGTTCTAATAACGTGAATTATATATATATATATATCTTTTCGAGAATTCAGAACACCGAAGCCTTTAATGAGTTTCAAAGCGATTATAATTGAGATTTAATGGCAAACATTGAGTCACAATATAAATTACTTCAACATCCATACAATAACAATTCATTGCTACTAGCCATGTAATACACGGTGCAAGACTTTCTTTCCCAAAACAATTAACCATCGAAGAGTTAAATAATACACTATTTCAGCTAAAGATATGACAGAAAATCCGGTAAATAACCCTAAAAGACCACCACAACTGGCCCAAAAATTAACATCTCCGAATAACTCTTGTCTTTCCAAAGCCATAAACTCCGATTCTCTGAATCGTACGGATACTACAATATTTCTGATCTCTTCCATGGGTAGAGTTTGAACTACATCTGGGCTGTAAGTTATTGTAGTACACGAAGGCAAACAGTCACAGGATTTTATACCACGAGGTTTCTCTAAAAAACCCGATTCATACTGCAACCAGGCACCTAAAACATATTAAATAAATATAATCTAATAAAAGCCAAAAGTGAATGGACCAACTTCTGGTTATACCGACACACCTCGACTTACTACGTCCACAAATGTTTGTCGTAATGTTATCTATAATTTAAGAAATTAATCTTATATAAATCTTATTCTAGAAATAAACCTACGTGGCATGTAAAAGGGAACACAACGACAAAAGTATAAAGTGTAATTAGCAAGACATTCCATTTTACACAATTCCATGGTATAAATTTTGAAAAAATAAAGACGACGTTCATATGAGTATAAACATTTTCTTCGCTCTGGAGAATAAAACTTTAACTCCTTTGAAGTAAATGTCATATCTAATTTGACCCCAATCTCGTAACTTCCATGGTTTTCGATATAAATAGGACGTCTTGCAAGGGTAGGAATTTCAGCAGGGTGATGTAGAATGACTTTAAATCCATCCTTGCCGTTACACCCTAATTCTTTAAAACTGGGTTTTAGGGAAAACCAAATATAATTCGTGGTCGTAATCAAGCGTTCGGGGTAGACATGTATATTAATTCCACTGTAATTGTCATCTACTGTCCAATTTACAGTTTTTCGGTGCTCAAGGTGAGTACTTGGCAGATAACTAAAAAATTTACTTACTTAGGTATAAAAAAGGTCAAAACTAGCGATACAAACGCAACGTTTTCGAATATGTCGTTTCTACTCAGCATGTTAGACGAGAAACAAAGTCCCGCATCTGTAAAAATTGGTGAAAACAGTTCGGAACAAGGTGTTGGAAAATCTATACCATAATTTGCTATGAAACATTCAGAAAAAATATCGTCCATAGAAAATGCGGTCTACAACAGCGTTATGGAAAAACGTTACTATCTTAATTTAATAAAGTAAGTATACCTTTTCAAAAAATTCACTAGCGTTGGGTTCTTTGAATGATGGAAATTTCGTTTGGTAATCAGAAAAGGCGTTGCAAGGATCTGACGTATTTTCAGATCTAAAAAAGAGTAGTAATAAACAGAACTCTGATTCATGAATTTTTCATACTCATTAGAAAGAAACGTAGCGATTGACTGTTTGTTGTGGAGATATCCATAACAAACAGTAACTGCTGGAAATGGTATGTCCCATAACGACACTGGCTTTTGTCGAAGTGCTATAAAAACAGGATTCTCTTCCCACTTGCGCCAAGTTGATTTAATTAAGACTGCACAAGTGTAGCTGGAGAGTGTTAAAATGCAGATCCACCAAACCCTTCATCCAAGTTTATTTTCTCAAATTAAAAATTGTAATGATAAAACTTACTTACTTACTTTTCTATGAACGATTTTTCTTTATCCACCAGATATTTAAAACCATGAATGGTACTATTATTCATAAAGTCAGAATAATATTTAGTTATTTGTTGAACCAAAGGTCTATTTTTTCTTTCCTCAACTGCATTAAGAGGGCCTGTTTTATTTACTTCTTCACCTTTATTGGGAGTCACAGTAATGTTCGACATTTCGTAGCTTATTAACATCAGATACGTTTTAGCTAGAATGTGTAGCGAGTATTAATTTTCTTTTTTTAATTTTGTTAACTACTTTTATCGCAATCATGGGAAGCATGATCTTTAATTAAATTATAAAACTATTAGAGAGATTAAAATAATTAACGTAAAATGTATTAGTACCGTAATATTCAAGAAGCGTATTTATATGCACAAATATTTGTTAAAATATGTAGAATTTTTGCTAAATATACACAGTTTTATGCACGTATGCAGTTTATGGCGAGCGACCCGGAAAGAGAAAACAAAAAACTACAAACAAAAACACGATCAATGTCTATAATTATATTTCTTAGTTTATTAATTAGGATATAAAAATTTAAATTGTTGATGGTACATTAGACAACATAACTAAAATCGTATCTGTCTTCCTTTTATGCGCTCACATGTTATCTAAAAATTAAAATTAAAAATTTTTGTTTCGAGACATAATTCAATTAAAATAGTCTACATGGTTTGCGTGAGTTGGAATAAGTCCAGGATAATCTTTTATTCTTGAGTTTATTCAAGTTCTTTTTACTTTGGGCATTTTTCACAAAATTTACTACCGCTGGACTTCTTCCATGTCTAGTTACGAACGAATTAGAAATATTTTGTCAAATTATTCTTCCCATCGTTACATGTCAGTGTCAGGCATGAAATACTGTATGCTTAGTCGACATGTACCTAGTTAAACTTTTATGACTTAAGACAAATACAAATACTTTTATTGATGTGACAACCGCAGTTTTACATAAGTCAAAATTCAAATTAAATACATAATGTTACATAACATTATTAAAATTAAAATTACATAGAAAGTAATCCTCAAATGGATAAAAACAATTTCTAATGACAAAAGACCGTACTTGTTTTTTAAATTTGGGCAGTGGCAAAATACGGACATTTGGTGGCAACATATTAAAAAATTTTACTCCGTAGTATCTTGTACAGTTTTGAGTGCATGTTAATCTATTGTGTTTCGATATTAAGTTGTTTCTATGTCTAATATAATACTTATGGGTATCAGCGTGGCAACAATAGTCTTGAAAATTTTGTTTAACGTACACTAAGCTTGAAAAGATATACAACTAAGGAAAAGTCATAATCTCCAAATTAATAAAACTCTGTTTACAATCTGCCCTATAGTTTAATCCAGACATCATCCTTATTACCCTTCTCTGTAACTTAAAAATTAAATGTCTGATGTGAGAATGTCCCCAAACCAAAATACCATAGAGTAACGTGGACTGAAATAAAGCAAAATAGGCAGTTTTTAATATTGTCAAGGACACCTTGTCTTTTAGTTGCCTTAACAGAAACGTAACTGACGATAATTTGTGAGAAACAGTAATTCCCTGTGCATTCCAATTTAATTTATGATCAATATTAATGCCTAAAAATAAAGTATGATCAGAAAACATATTACTGTATTTAACAGTAGAGGTTTTCAGTGAAAAAAGCATTCTGACGGTTTTATCTTGATTTATTGAAAGTAAATTATTGATAAACCATTCAGTAACTCTCGTCTGCGTGTCCCTATCCTGCATTAATACGTCGTTATACTCATTGTTACGATTTAGAAGTGAGGTATCATCTGCAAATAGTGTACATTTCGTATCTTGTAAATGTAGCGGTAAATCATTAATGTAAATTAGAAAAATAAAGGGCCCAACCCTTGTAAATCAAACTGGCTAACGTAAACTGCAACAAATACATTTTCAGGTACATTTATCTTTAGAAAAATAATAAAATAATTTTTTTGCCCCTTAATAAACCATTTACGGTGACCTGTAAAAAGTGCATGACTATGACAATAACAGACTTAACTTTCGTTTAAGTTTCGATTTTTTTTTTAACTGACAAGTAAAACAAACCGACAAAATGTGCAAAATATGCAATAAGTAATCTATAAGTCAATTTAAAAAAGGACAATTCAGATACATAATACAGCATTTATTTGTTATATCAATAATACGAGATACGCAAATTGCATATAAGTCGCACTCTAGTAATATCAATCAATTAGTCGTATCTTTAATACCATAAATACAATAATTTTAATTAATTTAACTTTAATAGAGGAAGACGAAGGAAGAATAAATATTAAGTATATGTTATTAAATATTTTAAAAATAACGCAACTTGACTGGACTGTGTCTTGACTGAACCCAGTGAATAACAATCGTTCCCGGAAGTGGCCTCTATTTAAATCTATACTTTCCTTCTAAAGGTTTCGTGATCGAGGTCTTTCTGGAATACCCTTTCGCGTCCAGGCTTTTCTTTAGCGAACTCCGCTCGGCCACCGTCACCAGCGATGAGTCACCCATCATCGACACACATACAAGAAAACCCATAGGCGTCGTAACGGGGTGGCATATGGGCTTATTTCGTAACACTGTCCCCTCCTTAATTCTGATTGTCCCGATCAGAAACATCAACAGTGTCACTGCTGTACTTCATGAGGCGGCCTAAGTAGACAATCTTCAGTTTCGTCTTCGGCCCTTGTCGAGTTCTGTAAAGGATATCGTTGATCCTCGTCACGATAGTGTATGGACCTTGCCCCTCTGGTGACAACTTCGGACCTTTCCTTCTTCGAAGATTATAAAGCCATACCAAATTCCCTGTCTGAATCCTTAAGGTCGTAACGTGTTTTCATTCTGTCATCTCGTACTCTATGACCTTCTTTGGTTCTTCACTTGAAGATGGCACAAGGCAGGCGAAGTTCACTTCTGAAAACTTGCGCCCCTGTGTCCGACCAGTCGGAACAGTAGAAGGTGTCGAACCCAATCTTTCTGACGTTCGCCCACAACCTTCGAAAAGTGTTCTTCCATAGTACGATTGAACCGTTCTACCATACCATCTGACTAGGACTTCAGTTACCCTTTGGAATAGGTTTGACTCGAAGTTTCTCTCTTGGTTCGAATGTAATTCCATTGGAACCCCAAACCTGCTGACCCAGTTGTCAATAAGCACTTTTGCAACCGTCGTGGCTTCTTGATTCGGTATGGCATAAGCTATTTGCTGAAGTAATCGCTGACGACCATTATGCACCTATTCCCGTCCTCGGTCACCGCGAAAGGACCTGCTATGTCCACTGCAACTCTTTAGAAAGGCGAACCTACGTTGTATTGTTGTATCGGCCTTCTCGGTCGTACATTTCTTTTACCAGTTCTCGATATCTTCTGGACGACTGACCCAGAGAATCTCTCCCTGACTTTAGAATGCGTCTTGCCCGCTTAAGGAACACATTCTCAACACACAGGGAGTCCCACTGAGCCCATAACGCCTTGAAAGAGAGTGAATCGTCTGATATTTCCGACCAAGCTGGCCGTTCTGCTCTATCTTCTTTCCACTTGAACAACGGCTCGATATCAACGTCCTCCTCTTGGTCTTTTTTAAGCTGTAGGGTAGTCCATTTTTAATCTTCCATTCTTAGGCTCCGGCCCTAAGTCTGCTAACGAATGAAAACTTCATTACTATTTAGATCAGGGCAGGTATGGGTGGTGCTTAATCTTTTCTTAATATACATGGTTTTCTTTGAATAACACGATATACAAAAACAGGTCTTATTATTATCCATTTACGATCTTTAAATAGTAAAGTAGGCTTTGATATTTTTTCTTTAAGTTGGATAAACTGATTTGATGATTTAGTTTTTTGTGTGTTAGTACTCTGATTGACATTTGCTTTGAGCTGGATTGCCACTTTTCTACTTCATTTATTAGATCAGAATTATTAGACGCAATTTTTTAATCAAGCAAACGAATGTTTTAATTTTGTCAGCATAGATAATTTGTCATTGTGACATATTCACAGATCATTGTGACATTATTTAAAAAAAAATGCCTAAAATAGTTTTACTGCAAAAAAAATTGCAATAAAAAGATGTTTTTTGCAGTTTAGAAAAAACAGGCTCAATCTTTCTTTCGAAGAAGTAACTATGAGGGTCTCGAACATATTGTCCGTAATGTAAAAATACGCTGTAAAATATTTTTTAATTTTTTTTCTCATAGGTGGGAACATCAACTCTAGCGAAAATTTTATCAACAGGGGACCAAAATTTAAAAACATCACTCTCTGGCAAGCGAAAACCAACGGATCTATTTACAAATTATATGTTTCCGAAAGACCTGCACCGACAAATTTGGCAACTTAATGAATAAAACGAATATTTCACTGTAGATACTCTTTTGGCATATTCTAGGGAACAGTTGGAATTTAAAGGGGGGCGAACCACATTATACAAAATTCTTAAGTCAATGGGTTTATAACACAGGGAAGTAAATGGTCACAAAATTCTATGTGAACAAAAACATGTCGTTGCAGCCAAAATTACTTTTTCGAGAACATATTTACAGTTTCTAAATTCTTGTGAAAATTTAACTTTCGTGTATTTGGATGAAACATGGATCTATCAAAATGGTTCGTCCATTCGTCGCTGGGTCCACGATACTGATCTAAAAAGCAGTCCCACCAAAATTAAAAGTGAAGGATCAAGGTTTACTATTCTCCACGCGGGTTGTTCAACGGGGTTCTTGGATGGTTGTAACAATTTTTTTAATTCAAAAAATAGCGATAGAGACTAACATAAAACGATGGACGGGGCAATTTTTCAAAATTGAGTGGTTAATCAGCTCATTCCTGCTTTGGCAAAGTTGAACCAAAAATGTATGGTGGTTTTAGACAATGCACCGTAACATTCGATTCAGTTGGATAAACCACCCACTTTTTCTAATAAAAAATGTGAAATACAGGAATGGCTCTTTAAACATGGTGTTGAATTTGACAACAATTTTTCGAAGAAACAATTGTGGGATTTAATTAAACCCTTCAGAGCCAATAGA